AAAAGTAGCCATTGTGAAAAAGCATCCCTCTGCAAAATGGCTCAAATAGTGCCACTTTCGGACCCAATTGCATCCAACTTGCTCAGAATTAGAAGCCCCGAGTCCGGCTCAGAGGTTCAGTCTCAGATTTTTTCAGTTCCCCAGTTCCATGGCTCTCAGGACCCTTTAATATAGAATATTTTGAGTGTAAACTTTTATGAATGAGCTCGGCGGACATATTTCTGGCCTAAATGCGAGGGTGCATCTTTACGGCCTAAGTCCTTGATTTGGCGACGTTTGGAAGTTGGGCGAGGCCAGGCTGCATGTACCGGCAGAAAAGAGACATGGCGTTCGCATTATTCAATTTAGGTTGCTCATCAAACACCGAATTCAACCACGAGGCGACAGTCTGCCGGTGCGGTACGCCTTTGGCCCCTAGTTCAGCCCAGCAGTTCAAATGGTGTAACTCGTCCCCATGGTGTAGAGCTAGCAAATTGTGACATGAGTGTCTCGATTGATGGAACCAAAATGGTGGATTATGCGTCAGTGCAATGGCTGCATGCTGTACTGCACACATACATGTAACGGCAGCCATTTTGGTTCCAGGGTCTTAAGTTGGCGCTACTCTCTCCATAGCTTTGCCGTGATGTGGAGCAGTGTGCCCCTACGGCCATACCCTGGTACTGGATCATTTTGCACGTGCAAAAACTATGGAGAAGTTAGAAACTGAGAAATAATGTGGTGCCCGACTGTATTCGTTTTAGTACACTAAAATACTTTTGCATTTGTGGAAATTTGCCGGGCTTAGAAAAATCTTTAAGCATGCTCCATGCTCAGTTGTTAATTAATCAAGCGACGAGAAAGAAAACTACTTAGGGCTCATCTAGTCCGACAACTATTTTTTGTTGTGAAGATGCAATTACTAAGACTTTCTTGCTTGAATGACGTCCTGTACAGAATTGTACTCGGTTTTCTGGCAAAAAGGAATTCATGGTGTTCCTTTGATGTTCCTTTAACATTTAACATTGTTAATGAAAACAAATATTTCGGGATCGACCCCCTTCAGCCTGATAAGCACCACAACCGATAATCGATCCAACACAGCATGACGTACTTATTGCACAGTGTACATGATTATAGATCAATCCAAGGAGAAGCCATAACTACGGTGGCATGGCGCTCACACGCGCATTCTTAAGCTTGACGCACGCGTGTATTTTGCAACAAATGACACACTATTTATGCCGTTCGTAAGTGTGACGCCACTTCAGTTTAAACCACATCCACTCAGTCTGGACATGCACTGCACATAGAGTTACATGCGTTGGTCGCCGTTTACATGGTAACTTCAGCGATCGTCCAATCGGAGCCTGCAAGTCGTGGTGCGTCCACCCCCGTGACGAAGTCACTTACGAACCGGATAGCTGCAGCACTTCGGGGATTGCGCAGGTCCTATCAGGCCCAGCATTCATCTCTGGCAGCGCTGGTAGTGCGACTGCTAGGGGGTCCACAGGGGGTTCTGACACACACACGACGTAGGTCAGATCAGAGGTCACAACTTCAGGATTAAAAAGGGTCTCAACTGAAGCCTCTGGTTTATTTGTGGCAATTGGCTCCATGAAACCTCCTTGCATCCCTTACATCTAGTTAGCCTAAATTATGTACGGAATTCTGGAATAAAGACGAAAAGTCGGGAAGGGCTGACTTCTTTAAGGTGTACATGTACTTCAATCATTTGTTTGTGATTAGACAATATACCTCACCGCGCACGTGCTTCAACAGAGGGCGCTACACAAAGGGCGTGATCATCAGGATACATCTACACTATTGGTCGAAGAGGCATATGCGACACACATGCCTTACATTCGTCACTGTTTTCATGAAGAGCCACACATGTCAAATGCGGCATTTTTTTTTTTTACATTCATTCATGTTGCTAAGGGCCAAAATTTCGATAAGGGCATTTTGCGTTTTCACAAAGAGACACAAATCTCACTGCCCCTCGTACACGTACAGAACGTATTGACTGGAAAGGCCGAAAGAATATGTCAAGTTTTCACAAACAGCCACACATCTTCGTTACAAATGCAACTGTTGCGCGCGTGAACATGTGTGCCCCTTCCCTATGGAAAAAACATTGCACATAAGGACCAAAAGTTAGGAAAACATGGATTTCCGATTTCACGAACAGACACGCATCTTTACTAATTGACTGGTCCTGCTAATGAACCACTGTGTTCATTTTAATTACTTGGTTCAGGAAAAGTTTATCCCTCAAAGAGTCTTTTGAGGTTTTCTTTTACTGCATAAACTTGTTCCATATGCTCATATGAAACTGTGCACAGATTAAAATGACACAAACTTGGGGGGGGGGTCCCCAAATTCAGAATCCCCCAGATCCCTTCTCTTGGAAATCTGCACTTTGTCTTGCTGTTCAACCCCAAACACGACAACTGGATACCATTTATTTCGGTTTCGGCTATGAACAGGTGCAACGCCAACAGTAAGCTATGTGCCTGCATGTACAGGGCATGTATACTACTTTAAATTTGAACACCAGTACTCTACGACTTTACAAATGCACAGGTTGGCCCCAAAACACCAACAATGTAATTTATAATACTTATGATGAAGGGGGCCCTACTAGGGAAACGGCGGTCTTGTGAGCACAGGAAAAATCACAATTATAAAGTCTTTTTACAGAGCGCTAAAATTCCGGCTTAAATCAGAAACTAATAACAAAAACGTTTTAATGGGATTTTCTGAAGAAAAAACTGAACAAAGCCAGAAAACTTGAAAGAAAATTATCATCAAAGTCGCACATTTTTTTCAACGGCCCGCTCACACTTCTTGCCACCAAGGCCATTTTTGCACTTGCGTACATAATTATGAATTTATAAGTGAAAAGGTGTATTACCTATTACGATAGAGCTATTAGTCGACTCTCGTTATTAAGAAATCCGCGTGACCTAGTGGAAGAATTCGTTGTATCCGAAATTCGTTGTAGGCGGAGCACTGTGCAGCGGTTTCGGTGTACACGTATTGTATGAATATGTCCTATTGAGTATGCCATGTACAATGTACTGTACATTTATACTTAGGCCGGACTGTATCTGAAGCCCCCCCTCCATTAAGGAAGTCTTTCCAGCAAAAACTGTGTCATGGAGAGACATTTTTATTTAAATTTCCGTGCGTTTTTGATGTTAGGCACAAGCTGCATGACACGAGTGATCGATAATCTGAGTTCACTCGCCCACCGCGGCACAGCCGCCCGCGGCAGCCGCCCGTGTGCGAGAAAGGGCAACTGTGAGGGGTGCTATCGCACAGTCGTAGCCATTACCTTTTGGACGTCCAAAAAGTGTGGACCATAGCCGTGGGCTTTTTTCACTTCATTCACAATTTTGAACGCGTGCGCCTAAGTGGGCATGGCGGCCAAACGTCTGAGCGGCCCATTTGCCTTTTAGAAGCACGGCGGACATAATAGGGGGGCGCTATTTGGATGGGGTAAAATCTTTTGTGTTTACACTGAATCTAACCCCTTCAAATAGTGCCCTTCTTTTGTGCCCACCCTAAAAGGCAAGTTGAAAATGTACAGTGTGCAAAGCTCATGTTCATTTTCTCGTAAATTTTCCTAGTTTGGCTTCTTTCTTCTTTATAAAGTTTAATATCGACATAGCCATATTACTCTCTGATCTAAGTGGTTTTTTTTAACAGGACGTTGGAATTAGATTTACCAGGGCTCCTGAATAACAGCGG